AAATACTTAAAAAATTTGGAGAATTTAACAGAGTTAAGCATTAGCAGTACTGACATAGATAGTGGAATAGAATATCTTCCTAAAAGTATTAAAAAATTTTATTGTTCAGCTGATTTAAGAAAGGAAGCTGAGGTTGAAAAGATTAAACAGGCACTAAAAGGCAAATTACCTGCCGAAATAGAAGAAGATACGGAAGAACTTTTTGAAAGATCCAAGGAAATTCAAAAAGATATTCATCAATTTTTTGAAGGATATAGTGATGAAGAAATAAAGCAATTAAAAGATCCTAAACAAATTGAAAATTATGAAAAATGAATTTGATGGACAAGAAACGTTGGGCGACTTTCCTCTTTAATTGGCAGTGTCTTAACGTTTACTGGTTATCATCCTACAATAGGAGGAGTCATTACGGTATCTTATCCACTTGTTGATTTTGTACTTTCTACATGAGAAGAAAATTATGTAAAAAGCAATGAAAGCAAGTGAGAAGAATTTGTTAAGAGTAGCAAAGAACTATGAGGCGATTATCGAGACTTGATGGAAGGTTTGAACTCATTTAAAGTTTGAGATGATTTCCCATTAGAACAATGAAAAAATATTAAAAAGTTAAAAGAAAAGGAAAAAAATGCCAAGCTTAATAACGAAGAAAAACAAGAATTAACCAAAAGTGAGACTCAATTGATAGAAAAAATAGGAAGAAAAAGTTACCAACTATTGCCTTTATGAGAAGAACTCCAAGACATTTATTATAAAGACGACTTAAAAAGAGGCAATTTAATGACTAAAAGTGAATTTGCCCAAGACTTATGAAAGCATTGAGAATACAAAGATAGGAAAGAAATAGGATGAGGTAATGATGGTAGAAAGTTCCAGTGAAATGAAATCAAAGAAATGTTAGTAGAAATAAGTAATAAAACTAATCAAGTTCAAGGAACTGGAACCAAAAGTATGGATAGTAAATTAGAGGGGTTAAAAGAAGTAGTGATTGATATAAAGGAAAATCAACAAGCTTTCCAAGTTCAACCTACTTACGGCACATTTTCTAGTTCCAGCAAAAAATAATTATAGACGCTAATGAATAGCATGCCAAATCTAGAAACAATAACTAACTCCAAGTAGCAGTAAAATTATGCTGAATTAGTGGAACTTTATAACAAATAACAAGGAATTAATATAAAAGCACTTTAAATCTATATAAGCAATTAAGCAGAGATAGAGTTCCAAGAGCAAGAGAACAATAATATTAAAATCATGAAAGAAGTAATAATTCTCGAAGTAAGCGGAAGTAAAAAAAGCCATTTGGTTCAAGGCTTCTTAAAAAGCAAAAAGATTGATTATAGAATACTCACAAAAACTCAATTAGAACTAAACAACAACTCAAAGGAAAAAGAACAATTAAAAAAACGACTAATTGCCGCTTACCAAAGACAAGCCAAAAATAAGAAATTACAGTCGGAATTAGCTCTATGGGATAGCATATCAGGAGACGGCTTATAATGACGAGCAAGACAAGTAAAACACCCAGCAATAAAGCACTTCCGCTTCCAAAACAAGGGCAAATCTGATTAGTGAAATTCCCACCTACCAAGGAGGACCGCAAGCCAATTCGCCCTTGCTTAGTGATTAGTGATAATTTTTTAGTGACTAGTTTTGTTTAGGGGGAAGTTCTTGATAGGCTTGTTTTTCTTGATAAAGTTCTTTTCTTATTTCTATCGTTTTTTCTTCAAAGCGAAAATTAATAATGTCTAGAACCTTTCAATCTCTTTCGTGAACAAAAATTTTTCTCCCTATAATATCATAAATATTTAACAACTTGTCGTTTTCTTTAATTTTTTTAATTAAAGACAAATTATTTTCTCTTCAAGTTTGCAATTCGTAAGAACAATCAGCAATATTTAAAGGAAAGTAGCAACTGAATAAACCATTTCTTGCTCTTTCGTCCTCATACTTTAAGCTTTCTTCTTCCTGAATAATTCTCTTTCTCACCCATTCTCTAACTTTTTCGCAAGGAACATTTTCGCAATAAAATGTCTTTAAACTCTCAGGTAGGTATTCCAAACCACTATCTATATCAGTATTAGAAATATCTAATTTTTCTAACTTGTTCAGATTTTTTAAGGGTTTGAGAGAACCAAAAAATTTGTTATAAATACCAGTTTTCAATTTGTGTCTAGTTATCAATTTTTCTTTACCTGATGAGGTTCAATGTTTAATCTTAGTGCCAATAATTAACTCCTTTAAATTAGTAAGTTGACTAAAAACTGATAAATCTTGTGGGGAAAAATCATTATTTGTTATATCTAAGTAAATTAACTTTCTAGCATCAGTAGGAAAAATAATCCTAGTAAGATAATTATTCGAAAGATCAAGTTTAATTAATTGAATAAAGTCTGTTAAATCTAAATCACCTTCTAATGTTTTTTCATTAATATCTAATTCCGTAATTTCACTTCTTTTTTCTTTTGGATACTTTTGATTTATATATTCTTGTGCGTTTACCATATTTATATAGAATGTTTAGTGTTAATAATAAATTTTTAATTAGGTAGTAAGTGGAAAAGCTTACACAAATAATCCTCCCC